TTTTATAATTTTAAAGTGAATTTTGTGGGCTGCTTGAACTTGGCCCAATCATTCTTATTTTTTTTTGTACCTCAAAATGGCTAAATTGCAAATATTCATAAATAATACGCTATTGTTTGATACTAATTTCAAAATTAATGGACAACATGGGTAGTCCTACATCAAGATTAAAAAGTGGATTTTGTGGACAAAAGATTGACTCGCAAATTTTGAAAAAATTATAAATAGGTATTTAAAAAAATGAAAAATAAAAATTACACGATTTTAATAAATGCGTTACCATAAAAATTATAGTAAAAATTAGATAAACAAATTTGCTATTATGAATTAAAAATTTATTTATTTTTACCTATTTAAATAGTATTAAACATTTAAAATAAATCATTCTATAATCTATACTATAAACGTAGACCGTAGTGAGATGGTTTATAAATTTAATTTAAAAAAAAAATATTATTAATTAAAACATAAGTATTATTTTGTTAGTCAGTTCTTTCTTTTACACCCTGTACATGAGTAATATAATATCGAGTATGCAGACATGCAGTTAACCAAATAAATATGTCGAAGACTCAATATTCAAAATGTTTTATTTTATAAAACATAATTTTTCTAACAGTCATATAATATTTTATAACATATTTTTCCTAAAACTTGTTATTCTCACACAGTTACACATGACTCTGATACTGGCCTCAGTAGCCAGTACCAACAGAACTAGGAATACGTTAATATGTTAAATCAAAAAAATAAAACAATATTCATGGGAAATGTATTATTTTCTTTCGCATAATACTTGGATACTTATAAACTGCACACGCCTCAGATAGAACATCGGGTTTATCTTATTACTTACTTGGGAATGATAAATTAGTAGGTACTAAAAACAGTCTTATGATATTTTAATATGCCAATTTTATACGATAAAAAAAATGAAAATTACAATCTGTTCCAAAGATTTTTAGTGCAATATATTATCATGTTATTACCAAAACTGTTTCTTCGATTCATGAATACAGAGTACCTTTATAGAAAAAAAAGCATGATTTTTTTTTCTAGTGTGATGGCCTCTGAACAATTGCTACATATCTTTTATCCGAGAGTATATAATTTCCCAGGAATAAATGATATCAAATTAATAAGCAAATGTAATTTTTACTTACCTTAGTCCTATAGTTGTGTTTAAAATAATATGATAATGAATATATTCAGGCACTATAAACTTTTTTGATTTTGTCAAACAATAAAAGTGTATACACGTTAGAAACAGTCAGTACTAGACGTGACGGTAAAATGACGATACTTTCTCAGTCCAATATAGTATTTAGCATAAACTCATAAACTATTGAGTGATCCATTTGATTGTTAGCTAATAATAACTACCTATTGATATATATTATTATTTTGTATACAAACTGTATTATCCTACATCATCCGGGAATTCCGGAAGACCGCTATTACTATAGCTTATGTTTTCCCAATGAAGTTCATAAAATACGATCAAAATAATTACTCGTCAACAAAAATATCTACACACTGGCATACACACCACATACATATTATAATAGCATAATAGGAATAGCTGGCCGTACACACGTAATCACTATTATTATTTATTAGTTATTTTTTTATTTGTGTATGTATTAAATTTATTTATTTATTTATTTCAGCAAAATCAATATCATTATTTCAATACAATAATACAATAGTCAAATTACAAAAGTTAAATTACTACAATAATAGTGATAAGAGCTGATACGTATACCAACTGAGCAAGCTCGTTTCTGGTATACGGAAATGTATCTTGTACTCTTGTGAGTTATAAGTTATATAGGTACCTACTACCTAAATTAATTATTCAGATTCTTTAAGAAACGCTATTGCACGCCGTTAATAACACTGCCGTCGTAATGTTTGTCCTGTACTGTACAGTGCACATCGACGAGTTACCATCGACATATTATTTCACAATAATACATTGATTTATTATTATGATTGAGTACACAGTACTAAACTAGACGTAATAGGCTCATGGTGTCTAATTTATCGTTATTAAACAATTATAGTCATTAATCATTATCATTATTATTCCAACATAATAAATAATCATAGTAGGTACATACAATTTACAAACCATATTGTGTTTAAATTATAATATAAAAAAATATTTAATCGTACCCTTAATCTTTATAAAATTGATTTGTTAGTGTTTTTGGTAAAATATTGGAGTCGAGAAAACGACTAGTATACCTACCTAAAAGCGTGGTATTTGTTTATCAGTTAGGTACCTACACTAATACGCCTGTACCGCCACGGGAAAATGGATTTTCCCGAGTTTGGGAAGATGTACAGATGTTCTAATTAGGATTACAAATGTGTACAAATGAAGTAACAATTGATAGGATGTTTTTTGACCTGACTATTTATACTTTTGTGGTACTGGGGTAACGGCCCTAACTATTTTGATTTTTAAAAACTAAATAAGGTCGAAGTCGGTCAATTACAAAAGTCAATCGTTTTAATCATTGATTATTTAAATTCAATCTTCACTTAATATTCAGTGATGATTGTAAAGACGTAGCTACATAATATTATAGTTAAAATAGTTATTTACTCACCCACTATTGAGTTGATAAATGATCCAGTTTAAAAATATTCAAAAATTCAAAATCTTTATACAACAGAAAAAGTACACAGCCAAAACCTATATAGGTACCGCACTCAACTAAACTGTTCAAAAAAAGTTTACCGGAAACTAACATTCATTTTTTATGAGCGTTTGAACTAATAACTTTTACGATATTTGATAATCAGTGGTAAATTATTAATCGATTTTTTAATTTGTTGTATTTCAAAAACAAATAACCGTAGACTCATGAAATGTTCACCAAATATTTTTTTGGTAAGATTTTAAAACTATTTTCGACTCTTTTTGAGCTATTTATGAAAATGAATTCCAATAAGGTGGGGCTAACATTTCCTCAGCCCCGCTATACTTAAAATTTGATTTTCATAGGGCTAGGAAGTCAGCACAAACGCGGGACCGAGTAGAACAAACGGCACTAACGTAGCACAATCGAATGAAAAAAAAAAATTTCGAAATTCCAATATGGCGGGGCTAACATTTCCTCAGCCCCACTATACTTAAAATTTGATTTTCATAGGGCTAGGAAGTCAGCACAAACGCGGGACCGAGTAGAACAAACGGCACTAACGTAGCACAATCGAATGAAAAAAAAAAAATTTCGAAATTCCAATATGGCGGGGCTAACATTTCCTCAGCCCCGCTATACTTAAAATTTGATTTTCATAGGGCTAGGAAGTCAGCACAAACGCAGTACCGAGTAGAACAAACGGCACTAACGTAGCACAATCGAATGAAAAAAAAAAAATTTCGAAATTCCAATATAGCGGGGCTGGGGAAATGGACCTGGTTGTCCGAGTTGTCCGGAAGTCCGGATGACTGCTAGGCTTGCCATAATCTCTTACAGCTTCGCGTCCTGCTTGTCTAGTCTTTCATTTACTTCTGATATCCCTTTGATGTCTGGTTCGGTTATTTTCAGGTGCCCTGGCGGACTAGCTGGCGTCGTTACGCCCTTTTCCATTGCCCCTAAGTTTGACATGCTAGCTTCTAGTAGGGTAGATGACAGTTCCTCTATTCTTTCCGATGCTTTGTCAGCCATGCTCTTTAGCGCTGCGCTTCTTTATTATATGAGGCCCGTATTTTCATGCAACTCAATGCACCAGCCTTTCACGTCCTTATGTAGGTTTCTCGTTTCCAGTGAAAATTTGTACATTTTTTCCACCAGTACTGCAAGTTCTTCAATGTCTGTGTCCAGGTTGTCCCGGTACTCAAAGAGCCAGTTGGCGAGATCGTCGTTAGCAATGTGATCTTTAGGTATTTCCAGAGATAAATCTTCATAATCCTTTCTTTTTCCGAGTTCCTGATTTCCAGTCCGTTTGTCCGGATGGCCCCCCCCCCCCGGTGGGGGCCCGTTGCGGGGGTACAATTCCTTATGGCGTGAGCCCCCCCACGACAAGGTGGGTCCTTGGGGGGAATGGGGGCTAACCCAACCTAACCTTTTTTTTTTTTTTTTCAGTTTCAACCGACGGCGTCGCGGGAACAGCTTTCGCATTAAACCCAACCTAACCTAACCTAACCTTTTTTTTTTTTTCTGTTTGAACCGACGGCGTCGCGGGAACTGCTTTCGCATTACTTCCGCGAAGCCGTCATCGTTTATTGAATTTAATAATGTGACATTTATAAATTTAATTTTTTACACCTTTTGTTTAGTCCCTTAGTGGATGCACATTGAAACTAATTTTACATTACATTTTATTAATAAAAAATTACATTGTTGGCTTAAGGCCCGCTGTTCGCATTTGTTGACTTCTCGACCCGGCTTTGCTGCCCGCCAGTCTTGAAGTCACGTTCTTGGTCTTCTCGGCCCGGCTTGTTAGCCAGTCGGCCTCGAGTCTCGTGCCTAGCGATTCTCCTTCTGTTGTTCTGGAGTTCACATCCCTCCGGTGGTGGTTTCCTAGTTTTCCTTCTGTATCCTCCGTTCGTTCATTCGTTCTTGCTGCTTGATGCGGCGGTTTCTTGAGGCGTTCGGACTAGCGGCCTTTCTCATCAATCGCGATCACCCGGAAAATCATGCTGTGGGCGTCCTACTAATGCCCCGGGGCACGCTTGCCGCTGTGGAGCAGTTTCGGATGATGATACTGGGGCGCTGAGTTTACTAGCCGCTGGGTCCCCGTCTAACCTTCCCGGTCGTCTATGCGTCGAGCCTTCGGTCTGTGTTGTTGTCGGTAGTTGGAGGGCGATGTTGGCCCTCTCTGGTCGCTGGTGTTGACCTGCCGGTGTTAGGTTTTATACAGTTTGCCTTCTGTGCCTCCCCCGTTGGCCGGAACCGAAGTTCCGTTTCCGGTCGGCACCGCGTGGACTCTGCCGACCAACCTAACCTAACCTAACCTAACCATATCCTGAAATACCATTTAGTATGCAGGAATCTAACTTGTTCACGATGGAGGAAATTGTGGAAGCAGGGCGTAGCTTACCCAGAGCCAAGGCGCCCGGGCCAGATGGCGTGCCGGACGAAGTGTTACGTGTTATCGTGCAGATACGTCCAGATTTGCTGCTGAACACATTCAACGAGTGTGTGAAGACTGGAATATTCTTTGAAAGTTGGAAAATAGCAACTCTGGTTCTGCTCCGAAAAAGGGATAAACCGCTGGACCAACCATCGTCATATACGCCGTTGTGCCTCATTAACTCCATTGGAAAGTTGTTTGAGAGGTTATTAAAAGTGAGGATAACTCGGCATCTTTATTGAGGCAGTCATGAATATTGTAAACAGAGTTGGTAGTGGCCAATTTTATACTCGTAAACTGTGTGCACTAGCTTCGCTTGATGCCGCTAATGCATTCAACTCCGCACCGTGGGAAAAGATTGATGCTGCTCTCATACACAAAAGGTTTCCAGCCTATCTCATAAAAATGATCAGGTCGTATTTTGATGGGCGGAGTATTATTACGGAGAGTGGACGGCGTTTGGTGACTACTGGTGTACCTCAGGGCTCGGTCATTGGACCAATACTGTGGAATATATTTTATGATGGTTTGATGCGGCTGGAACTTTCGGAAGGTGTACAAATCGTGTGCTTTGCAGATGATGCGGCGGTGGTTGCCACAGGGCATACTACCTGGTTGTTGGAGAAAGCCATGAATGACTCCTTACAGTTGGTCTCTACCTGGATGGAAGAACAGGGATTGTTGCTATCAAGCAGCAAGACTCTTACAATAATGCTTACAACGAAGCGAGGCTATGATAAGCCGACGTTCAAAATTGGTGACACGGTTATAGAACTTTCTGATGATATGAGATACCTCGGAATGCAGCTCAGCTCTGTGCTGGGCTACAGGAAGCATATAGAGGTTGCAAGTAACAAGGGCACGAGAACAGCTGCGGCACGTTCTCGCTTAATGCCCAACGTTGGAGGACCCTCTGCCGCAAAGAGGAAATTGCTTACGACGGTTGTTCATTCACAACTACTGTATGCGGCACCGATCTGGTGTGGCGCACTTCAGCACGAGGTCAATCGCAACAAACTATCTTTCCCGCAGAGAAAGATGGCGTTGAGGGTTGCGAGTGCCTACTGTACGGTGTCGTACGCGGCTATAATGGTGGTAGCAGTCATAATACCCATCCATCTACTCGCAGCTGAAAGATAAGGGATGGATGAAAGGTGGATGAGAGGGCTGTGCAGTCAGCAGCAGCAGCAGCAGCAGCTATACATTAGTTAATTTAATAATATTGTGGCTTGAAGAGCAAAATTACAGGGGTAGCGCCCTGTTATGTATGTAATTAGTAACGTAATATTGTAAGGGACTGCGAGTGGGGGATTCGCCCACCACATCCCAATATAAGTTGTATGTTTGTTTTAATAAACGATGGTCGACATGGGCAAGGAATGCGTCGCGAAAGCAAACAGTGCGCCCCTGTCGATCGGTGCCGAAAAAAAAAAAAAAAAAAGGTTAGGTTAGGTTAGGTCCATGTGGACTGTGAATGAGTGCTTAGAAGTAAGAACCCTACGTTTTTCGAGATTCTGAGCGGAGTGATGAATGTCTTGGATTTACAGCTATGTGTGTATCTATTTGTTTGGCCTGTCGGAAACCTATTGGAACACTTAATGTATATCAATCTAACTTTAAGGCTGTTGAAAGATGGTAGTTTCGTTATTGTTTTTTCCCACATTTGGAACAATAAGGGGAAGAAAAATTTAAACAGTAACAAAATTTTAATTTTAATTTTTAAAGTACCTATAATTGAATTTCTTGTTCACATATTTTGTACTGAATTTGTAGGAATTTGTACGAACATTCGCGATATTTTTCAAAAATACCTTACTACCAAAAAACGAATATTCCTTATATGCCCTTTCTCCAGGCAAACTAAAAATACGTTTTCCTACAAACTTTCCATGAAGTTATTTAGAACGGAATTTGTGCGAATTTGTACGACCATTCGCAAAATGTTCGAAAATCCCTTACATCCGAAAAAGTGACTTGAGGTTTTACAAATCAGTTACCAATTTGTAATATTATACGTACACACGAATTATCGTACAAATAAGTACAAATTCAGTACAGAATATTGGACGAAAAATAATTGCAATAACACAATGTGGGGGAGGATTCTGGGGTTAGGTTAGGTTAGGTTAAACCGAAGAAACGAGAAACGCACGTGGAAATTTAGAAAAAAAAATATATTCTATATAATTAATTTGGTACTAGTACTATACTAATTAAATAATGTAAAAATTGAATAAATCAAATTTCAAAATTAAAATCGGAATGTTGGCACTGGGTGAGTTTTTATTCCACTTTTTTTAACTTTCGCGTTGAAACTGTTTTGATCGCAAAATTTAGTGACGTGTGACTGTGTGACTGTGCGTATGTAAGTTAAGGATTTCCAAGAATCTTAGCCGTAGCTTATCTTTAATTACATAAAGCGTTCTTGAAAATCACGCATACTAATGATCAGACACTACACACACAGTCACACATAATATGGATAGTATAGAATATTACCTAAATATGACAATATTTAAAAATGGTTCGCTTTCAACAGAAATGGTTTATAGTAGCAATATGATCAAGGTATTATTTTGGGAAAATCTCGTACTACTTTGGAAAAATTGAGAAAACTAAATTGGAAATACTTATTAATATAATAAATACTAATATTTCGGGCACCAGTTTTTGAAAAAAATGATTTTGTTTTTCTGGTATCACTCAAAAACAAATAACCGTATATACTTTACATTTTTTTTTGAATATTTTTAATTCAAATCTAGACGAAATCAGGTATTTAATTGACGAATAAACATTTTAGTTATTTGTTGTAATTTAGAAATATTTTTCGTATGTGTATACATAATGACATTTCAAAATGCAATGTTTTCACGGTTATCAAGTTAGCCCCAGACCATCATAAAAATTATGCAGACCTGTGCAAATATTTATAAAATTAATTGCACATAATTGAAAACTAATTTTTAGAATTTTCAAATCAAGTCCAAAGTAGAAAATTAATAAACAGGTTGGGGGGACGAGGGTTGTCGGGCTAACTTCATGCAGCCCCCTGCTCTTTCTGATCCGTTCCAAACCAACGAGAATATTTAGCAAATCTATTTCTATATTTTCTAAATTTCTAAAAATAGATAATAAATAAATAATTTGCCTCTGAGAGTAGATTCATTTGTAGAACAACTGATAACGTATTATAGAGGTGTTCACCTTTTATTGCAAGGAGGAAACGATGATCATTTGATAACTCGTAGCGATGAAGGCTCTCAAGATAAAAATGATAACATCGTATTTGAAGATGAAAACAATTTAAGTATATCCCATAAACATTATAATGATGATTTAATATCAATTTTAAACGATGACTTAGGTAGTGGTAGCCATTATATTTTTGTGGATAAAAATAATATTAGCTCATTCCAAATGCACTCTGACGATGACTTGATGACACGTGATAACGAACGCTTGTGTAATGGTAGTGGTCGTAAGTGTGATGAGCAAAATAATATTAGTAATAGTTCAACGGACGATTTATCATTATGTTCCTACAGTGCTATTGATGAGATCGACGAACAACCGTCTTTTAGCAGTTCAGTTTCTGACTCCAGTTCTAATATTAGCCAATGCCAAGCATGCAGAGTTGGAAATCTTCCAACGGGTCTTCACAAATGTGCACAGTGTGATAAATCTGTTCATATTTTGTTTGGTTGCTCCATCAGAATTCCTGGCACGACTGAAGGTTGTGGTGAACCGAGAATTTGTCTTGATTGCGATGTAACGTGCCAACCACTTCAACTCACTTCTGATGGTATTTTGAATTAAATAACAAGTTGATTTTATAATGATAGTTCAGTTGTATTTATTTAACACATATAATAGACTAAGTCCAAATAATTAACTTATAAAAATGTGTTAAACGGGATGTGACTTAGTATCGACTTTGTGGCTGATCTGCCGGTGTTCGTCTGATGGACACTTGTCCATCGACGTATTTCGTCGGTATTCCTAATAGATCCCTCCTATGCAGGGATCGAAACCGTTTCATATTTTAACGGTTTCGGTTTCGGTTTTTGAGAACGGTTTTCTACATTTTCTGGTTTTGGTTTAGGTTTTAAGATCGGTTTTTCAATTTTTTTGGTTTTGGTTTCGGTTTCAAAAAATGTTTTTAAAAAAATTTATCGGTTTCAAGAACGGTTTTTGAAAATGTTTGGTTTTGGTTTTTGCAACGGTTTTAAATTTTTTTTATATTTTCCTACATCTAAAAACTGTTTACCCAATTTTTATTATCTATTAAATATATTAAGGGCTGAGCCTAAAGCCCTAAAAATTAAAATATATCCGATTTGTACACTTTATGTAAAATGTGCATACAATATGCCAAGTTATGTTCAGCAGAACTAATTTCGTGTTCTCAACAACGTAGGTAGTAGGTACCTACCTGCTTTTGCATACAACATATTATAGAGATCATTATTCGATTACATTACATTAATATTTAATTGTAATTTACAATAATATTGCATTATATTAAAGACTACAGTATAATAAATCTCATGATATTTCAAGTTAAATCTCATCTCATGTTATGCTTATGATATTTGAACAAAATAATAAATTTAAATTTAAATGGATAGTTACTAAAAAAGGTTTTTGGAGTATTGACAATTCTGTTATTTAAAAAGGTATAAATACACGTTAAACACACATTTTTAATTCAAGAGACACACTATTTCAGGCCAAGAGATTGTTAGAAATTTACATATTTCTATTTCTACATGCTTTTCTTTAACTCACAATGTCTCATTCCTGTTGTCTTCAAATCTTAATATTAATATTAAGTTTATATAAAAATTCAGTTGTAGAGTGACTTTACGTATGACTTATCATAAGTATATAAGTTATCTATTTTCATAAAAGTGTCCAATAAAAACAAAATTCAACAATTTCAGAATATTGCTCTTAGGAAAATTACTAATGCTACAACCTTTGTTTCGAATTACACTATACATAATGACCTGTCAATTAAAATAGTAGCTCTTATGAGTCAGGAATATCTCTTACAAAATTGGAAGTGTGATCAATAATCTTTAAAATATTTATCATAAAGTTTATCTAAAGATTCAGTTGTAGAGTGCCCTTACGTAGGAGTTATCATAAGTGCCCCATGCATTTCTTTTTTTTGTAATTTAGAATTTTTAAAAATTGTTCAACAAATACATTTTATAAACACTTTTAGTAATATCTTGTTAACCTTGAAGTTTCATTAAGAAATTGTTTTAAAAATAAGTTTATTTTCAACTTTTTCGTTCATTTATTAAGTAGTATTAAGAAAAGCATGTTTTTAAAAATTATTTTTTTATTTTAATAACATTTGTCGTTTTCATTACCAATACTCAATAGGCCATAAATAATAATTAATAAATAATAACATTACAATTAATATAATATATCATTATTTAAGTACCTGTGTGGCTATGTTGTAATAGTTAGAACACAGTAGGAAATGGGAATACATTTACATAAACATAATATAGGTACTATTATATTCTGAAGTATCTTCTTTATTTGTGACATTATTTCTTTTGTCTAATTTCATAAAAAAATGTGCAACTAAATAATGCAAAATTGAAACTTAAAATAATCAAATGTTAACTAGGTATAGCTTGCTTATAATGGTCTCATGCAATGCATGAATTTAGAAGTTGAACTTCAGGACGACTGCAGGACGGACGCTGTTCGGCGAAATACGAAACGATAATTATTGTAACAACTAATAAGTACTATAAATATAAAGTAACTAATAACATCAATATATCATAATTTACACAAATACTTCAAATAACAACAATACAGATTAGTGATTATGGACATGTATAACCGAATAGGGGCGGACAAAATAATAATAGTTATATTTTAATTTAGAACCAATACAATAAGTATAGTAATAACATAAAATATAAATAGAACAATATTCGTATTACCAATAGATATTAATATATTATTATCGTAATACTGATTAGTGATTACCTAAGAGCATCGGGATTTTTATTAATTAATTCGAACGTTATATTATTTTCTTCGTATGAAAATACTCGTTTTAACTAGAATTATAAATAATATAATTAACTTTATAAAATTCGAAGAAACCGATATTGATTTTAAATTTTAATCGGTTTTTCAAGAACTGATCAAGAACGGTTTTTCAATTCTATGGTTTCGGTTTGGGTTTTATTAACGGTTTTTTAAAGGCCTCGGGTTTCAGTTATGGTTTTTTAACCGGTGTTTTAAAGCTTTTGGTGTCGGTTCCGGTTCCAGTGTTCAATAATGAAAAAACCGCAGTTCTAACCGGTTTTTCAAAAACCGGTTTCGATCCCTGCTCCTATGGCATTTTAGTATAAAAATAGTACACTCACCGCATCTGCCTAAGGTCATTTTTGACGTCTTTTACGAAAAATTATGTTAATTACGGATTATATGTTTCCAAAGTTATCTATTTGTGCTGTTTACGGCTTTTTCGTCTTTCCTAGAATATGGAAATTGGTCGCGTATACCTATCACGTGTTCGCGCTGTACCATTAATTAGTTCTTATCGATGTGGCCGTTCGGATGCTCATATTATTACTATTATCGGGGTTACGTGCTCCCTGCAGCATTTATATCTATTATTGAATATTATATATATATTATAATCGTATTATACTTAATATAATATAATATATTATTTTATATATTATTACTATTATTAATATATACGTAGTCACAGCCCGTTACACCTCATCGCCCTTTCAAAGGTTTTTGTAGGGCTACAATTTGTAGAACTACAAAAATCTTTAAAGAAATTTTACATAAAACATGGACATAAACATAGTACATAGTACATAAATTGTTAATAATGGTCATAAAGACAATTTTACATAATTTCTTTTCATGACATAATGATTTTCATTTTACATAATTTCTTTTTACGATACATAATTTTTCATCACAAAACATAACAATATTTCTTTTTATAACAACATAACATAACATAACATATTTTTTTTTATATATCATAACAGTTTCATTACATAACAATATATAATATATTTTTCATCTGATTTTTAAACATAATAACATAATAATTAAAATTTTGTTAAAACAATATACCTTAATAACTAATACAATAACATACTATATTATTATTTATTACTATAGCATTGAATACAATAATATTTTTTTTTTTTTTTTTTAAGTTACATGTTATATATAATTTATTTTTAATGATTACAAATATTTCATAATCTCCAATGAGATTACGGATCAGTATATTTTAAAAAGTGCGTGTTTAAATTTATCTTTACATTTTTGTTAATAATCATTATTTTATTGCACTGGCATGATTTCAGTAATAGTAATTTACTATAACAAAATGTGTATTATCTATTTTTATGTCACATGGTTACTGTCTTACTAAAGGTCGAGTAACCATGCTCCAAACCAAACTTCAAACGTACTTTTGTAAAAACTGTAAAATAATTCCTTTTGTTAACCAGGGAAATGACTAATTATAATTATAACGATTATTGTTATTATAATTATTTTTCCGCCTATTAGAATTACTGGTATCCCTGGTGGAGTTGTTTATTTGTCTACCTGAACTATTGCCTCCTTAATATTGGTATGCATCTGACTCAGACTTCAGTATCTTCGTCTTTAGCAACCTGGATAGCTAATTCTAAAGTAGGTGGTTTTTGAGATTTCACGAGTGTCTTTAAACTAGGTATTAACCCTTTAATAAAAACTACCAATGTCTGATCCTTTAACTGATCGCGGATTGTATTTGCCTGTTCTGTAGTTTTACCTTTTGTACTTGCTACACATAGATTGAAATATAATTGTTCTACCCTTCGCGCATATGCACCTACGTCTTCGTTACTTCGCATGCGTACGGAATTTAGTGCCACTTGTAATGACGATTTTGTTTGTTGGGGTTCGAATGCATCTAATAGAATTAGTTTAATACCTTCCCAATCGCTAGTGTCCCTATATCGACATACATTTAGAGCTTGGCCGAACAACTTGGTATTAATAAATTTCGTAAGTATGGGTAGGTCTTCCCTTTCTTCTGCTGAACAAGCCAAATCGCAAGCTTTAATGAATTGGTATAAGTCCCATTCGCCGGTACATGTGGGAATCATAAGGGTGGCTTTGTCTAATGGAATTTTGGTTTTTCTGTTTCGCTTAACGGGTTCTAACTGCGTATGTATTATTCCTTTCTGCGTACGAGTTCCTATTTGTCGTAGCTCGGTTTCATTTACTATTATCGGTCGTATGCTTGTATTCAATAAATCCTTTTCCCTAATAGCTCTTAAGTATTTTTCCCTATCGAAATCTTTGGAATATTGGTAACCTTCTTCTGTACTTAAATCAATTAATAATTCCTTATCATCAACTGTTGTTGTGTTGTCAACTGGTTCGTTAACAGTTTCCTTCGAACTAATTGTACTTGATTCACTATCCTCGTTATTAATTATATCAGAACTTGTTGATTTAATTACTACTACTTCCCAAGTTTCCTGATCTATTAATTGTATGCTTCCAGATTCACTTTTAGTCAAACTAGTATTATTATCTTTTTGACTCATTAATCAATAGTCATAATCACTTAATGTAATAGTGTAAACGAAAACGGAGTTAAAGGGTAACTGACACACTAGTGTACAAAAATTTAAATCGTACTCAATAATTAATTCTCTAATGAAATTTAATGAAATAACTAATAACTACAGTAATAAACAATAAATTATTAATTAAATAAAAAACAATCAAAACAAATCAGCAACAATTAAACAATAGATAATTAATAACAATCGTTACTAATTATTTACAATCAACCGATTGCTTCAATATTTCAATTCAATTTAACCAGTCAGAAGTCGCGTATGAGCGCGGCGCTCATTCCGTTATTAGTTTAGCTATCACTGGTTTCAATTTAATGTTTAAATTGTTGTAAACTACGTATACCTTATGCTATCTTATCTAGGCACTTTTCTATAAATAAAATAATCCGGTCCGTAGTCTTGTGTTGAAATGACAATAGATTAAACTTGTCAGTTCTGATAAAGTGAGCGGCGCGCTCATACGCGACTGTTGGTGTATGCATTTTTGTCGTTTAGTTTTTTTATAATTTCGCGTTATAATGTCTGATAATATACAAAATGTGTGTAATTGGTTAGATGAAACTGAAGAAGATAATTTATTATATGATTCTGATGACACTGACGCTGATCCGGATTTTGTATGTACAAATATACACAATGAAATTGATTCTGAGTCGGATACAGATGTTGATGTACACATAAATCCGTCTTCATCTAGAATAAATAATGCCTCAGTTGCATCAAGATCGCGATCTGGAAGTCCACTCATACGAGACAATTCCAGTTACTATTTAGGTAAGGATAAAGTGACAAAATGGTATAAATAAAGTTGTACTCCAAGTAATAGTCGTACACTTCGACGTAATATAGTGTTACATTTACCCGGCGTAAAAAGAGTGGCACGAGACGCAAAATCTATTATTGATTGTTGGAAGCTATTTTTTCCGGATATGGTCATTGATGAAATAGTAAAATGTACTAATATTTATTTGACTAAGATTCGTACAAATTTTCAACGGGAAAGAAATTGCCTAGATACGACTAGAGAGGAAATAAAAGCGTTGTTTGGGCTTCTGTACTTGGCAGGTGTTTTACGTAGCAACTATTTGAATTTGAAAGATCTTTGGTCAGACAATCCTTTATCTCCCGAATATTTTCGTGCTGTCATGTCCCTAAAACGATTTTATCTGTTGCTTCGTGCACTCAGGTTCGATGATATAAATACAAGAACTGAAAGAAAAATGTATGACAAACTATCCGCCATCCGAATGATATTCGATGGATTTGTACGTTGTCAAGCTCTATATACTGTTGGGGAAAACTGCACTATCGATGAAATGCTCGAAGCATTTAGAGGTAGGTGTAGTTTTCGTCAGTATATCCCGAACAAGCCAAATAAGTATGGCATAAAAATTCAAGCATTGGTGGATTCACGTACTTTTTTTACTTCTAACATGGAGATATATGTAGGAACACAGCCTGACGGCCCATTCAAATTTGAAAATAAGCCATCAAGTATTGTAAAAAGGATGATAACTCCAATTTCTAAAACTGGTCGAAATATCACGATAGATAACTGGTACACTTCCATACCATTGGTAAATGAGTTGCTTGAAAATCATAATTTGACAACTGTTGGAACTCTACGCAAAAATAAAAATAAATCCCACCTTGCTTTTTAGATACTAAACGTAGGGAAAAAAATTCAACTTTATTTGGATATAGTAAAAATCTAATGATTACGTCGCACGTGCCTCGTAAAAACAAAAATGTCATATTGGTATCTAGTATGCATAATCAAGGCGTTATAGATACAGATTCTGGTGACCAAAATAAACCCGAGATTATTACCTTTTACAACTCTACAAAAGGCGGAGTAGATGTTGTTGACGAACTGAAGGGAGAATATTCTGTTTCTAGAGTAAGCTGTAGATGGCCATTGACAATATTGTTCTCTCTAATGAATATTGCGGGAATCAATAGCCAAATAATTTATCGGGAAAATACTGGCAATGTTATTACTTGTCGAAATTATCTTAGAAGTTTGGGTCGAGAACTTGCTAAAGAAATTATGATCAACCGACTTGCTATACCAACATTGAGTATTCAACTTCGAAGTACAATTATGAAGATAACAGGAATAAAAAAACAGCCTACACAGCCTGAACAGCATGGATCAGTGAAAGAAAGATTGAAATGTGCATATTGTCCAAAAAATAAAAATCGAAAAACAATGGTGAGTATTACATGAAATATAATGATTAACTTTATAAATAATGAATTCAAAAAAATATTTTATGTTTAGGTATGCTGTGAGCTATGCAATAACCGTATTTGTAAAGAGCATACAAGTACTATTTGCAAATCATGTCAAACGGGATCAGAAGAAAAATCCGATTCAGACTAAATATATAACATTATTTTTTTTATTTTTCATCTCCAAGTATTATTATTTTTTAAAACTATAACTATAATTAATTATAATGTATGTATTTTAATTTTTCAACTCAAAATATGATTTATTATTTTGCAATAACTACATGTATGCATTTTTAAATTTTTATTTCAGAGATTTCTATCTTAGTTTTTTAATTGTAATACGTTTTGACTAAGTATTGTAACTACCATTTATTAATAATAAATAAACAAAGTGATCCTAATTAATTATTCATAATAAAATTCTCATTTACAGTTCGATTTACAACATTAATTAGTAAAAACTGGGAAAGTGAGCACCGCTCATTCGCGCCTAACTGTGTTACAAATATACACGCGCCTAATGACGGGTTAATTACTTAATAATTTATTTAAAGTAAATTTATTTATAATAAAATTTTGACTTAACTTGCCTATCTTAGTATTAATTTAATTTAATCAATACGATTTAAAATTAAAATTTAATTTAACTATTTATTCTATTTTTTTTTTTTGCTTTAATTCAAATTAATCAACCAATCCCAGATAGCAAAAATGTAATGATAATAATACTAAATTATTATTAAATCGTTATATTTGAAATAATATCATTAAAATAATATAGTATTATTTTATTTACATGACATTATTAATAATTCAAAAAATCAATCATACTATATTAATATTACTTCATTACGATAATATTATTACCTATATAATAATATAGTATTGTTTTATTTAGAATACATTTGTAATATTATTTTTAAAGTAATAACACAATAATATTTTATTGTTATTACTTCAATACGAGAATACAGTGGCGCCGAACTCAATTTAAAATGGGGTGGCAAAATAGTAAAAATTTACCAAACACCCACCCACCCAGAACCGTTAAATTAAGCGGGCATTCTTAGGCCCAGGGCCGGACTGGGTCAACAATTTCTACCGGGAAAATAAAAAAAATCGGCCCACTTAGGTATACCTATAAAAACAACTTTAAAAACATATTTTTCCATATAAAATGATTGTATATTATTTTGAGAATTTCAACACTTAATATTATTATTAAAAATTAAAAAAATTAAAAATTAGTTAGTACAAAGAAATGTTATCATTTTTATTTAAAATACATATTATATTTAGACTCTAGAATAACTACACATTAAATAATAATTATACATATTAAGCAATTTGTTTAGGTTTGAGCTCTTTTGCGACAGTGTGTCGATTATGATTTCATTATCCAACTCCATCAAAATATCAGATTCAGCTGACATAAGCATAAATGATTCTAAATGATCATGGCTCAATGAATTTCTTATTCTATTGAGAATATATTTCAATTTTGAAAACATTCTTTCACAAGCTACTTGTGTTGACGACAGTGATAGAATGAATTTGTATGCAAAAATTAGTGTCTTGTAAGCTTCGCTGTACAGATTATATTTCAGTAGTACTATATAGCAACACAAAATACAATTTCGACACGCTTTAATTTTATTACATAATATTGACGATTTTTTTCAATTTCTAAATTAGAATTAGTGCTTTCTTTTAGTTCTAATTGCTGTTCCTCGTTAATAAAATTATCAAATTCGTACTCTTCATCAAGTGTTAATTTTAAGCGGTCCCATTTTGAAGAAAAGTCTTGTAGTTCATATAATAAGTTAGCTTTTGTTATACTCTCGTCGCGATTTACTAAATGCTCAACTAATTTTGTAAATTAGGCGCAGGCGTGCGTTACGATAATAAAGTGATAACCGATTAACGATCGGTTTTTGGCAATTTATTCATTTGTTCATATCTATTTTGAGGAATTTCCTTAATATTTTATCGCACACCCATGTTCAAGGTTAGATTATATTCAATTCAATCGCATTAGAAAATGTGTCTATGTCTATTGACAAAATGTCTCAACCAATAAACTTTAAAAAAAAACGCACCTACAAGCACAAGTGGCCCAAATTAAACGAGCGGCCCACCGGGAAACTCCCGGTATCCCGCCTGCCCTGTCCGGCTCTGCTTAGGCCATACCTCAACGTTAACTTCAGACATTATAGTCATGTAAAATAATTTAGTTTTTGTCAGTTATTCATAAATACTAGTCTACGGTAGTGAACAAAATACATTTTTAAAAAAAATATAAATACCCATGAAAATGTTTGTATTTGTTCTCAATTACTTTTTCTAAAAAGTGTTACAACAACTCTTGTAGGGATGTATTAGGTTCTCTGTTAACTTTTAATGTAATTTTGGCTGGGCTAGTTTTGTTGCCACATGTATTTAATTTTAATTTTAAATATTTTTTTTAGATTCTGAGTGAAACGATGAATGTATTGATTTTACAATGATGTGTGTTTTTTTTTTAATTTTTAATTTTTTTTTGTGTCTGTCATCACGTTTTACGACAGTAAAAGTGCTTGGATTTTCTTCAACAGTAGCTTTTCTGATAGGAAAATGAATCTAGTTGGTACTTTAGGGGTCAAAAGTAAAAATGTCTCAGTAGTTTTCACAAGCGCCGGGAAAAACAACATAAAAATTAAGGAAAAAAGGGAATTTTTTAGCAAAATCGGTTTTCCAAAAAATCGATTATGGTTTTTGTTGTTACTCTAAAAGAAATGAACGTGTATACATGAAATTTTCACTGGTTGTTTATATTTGCATTTTATATACACGATAATATTTTCAAAATATTTTGATTTATTTTGAACTGTTTAGGGACATTTGCATTTTCCATTTTTTTTTAGTTTTTTTTCTAAAAATAGCAATAACATTTTATTTGTTGGTTGCGAAAGCTTGAAAATTTAATAGAAGACTACTAGTATATTGTTTCAAAGGCAGATGAAAAATATTAAAAATCCTTGGTCGCAATTTTTTTTTATGAGCATTTAAAGTTCAAAAATTGACAAAATATGGAAAAATCACGAAAATTAGCAAATTATTTTGAGTTAAGAATTCGTAAAAATTTTTCTTTTTAAATCTAAGATGTGAACATGTAATAGAAGATTCCTTATAAGATTATCTACCTTTATCAAAAAAAAAATGTCTATAAGAAAGTCAAATTAAATTTTTATGAGCGTTTGAAATTAAAATTTTTACAACATTGGATATTCACTCGATTTCTCATGTAGCGATTTCCTTATTTTGTTGTAATTCAAAAACAAATGACTGTAGATTCATGAAAATTTCACTGAATATTTATATTAGCATTTCCTATACACCATACAATTTTGAAAATATTTTGACTTTTTTTGAGCTGTTTACGGACATTTTCAGTTTCCCATTTTTTTAGTTTTTTATTCTATAAATATCAATAAAGTTTTATCTGTTGGGCTAAAAAGTGTAAAAATTGAATACAAGGCTCCTGATATATTGTTACAATATCAGTTGAAAAATATTAAAAATACATAGGCAAAATTGTTTTTTATAAGCATTTAAAGATCGAATTTTGACAAAATTTATCAAATTTAAAATTGAATAATTATTTTGTAGTTAAAAATGTATAAAATGTTCAACTTTTATAATATAAAATATAAGATATTATCTAAAGATATCTAAGGATTGAAAATTTAAAACAAGATTCCACGTAAGTAGTAAATTCTGTTACCAAAAAATCTAAAAATACATAAGCACAGTTTAATTTTATAGTCATTTTAAGTTCAACTTTGGACAAAATTACATAAAAAAACCTAGAATAACTATTTTAGTTATTTTGTTGTGATTGTGTAATATTATTCGTGGGTACTTGAAACTTTTAAAGTACACTATTATATATCTATGGACTATGGAGTATGGACTATGATAGTATCAGGGTTTGTTGACGTATAACGCATTATAAGTATCTAATGGATATTATGATATGATTGATTTGGAATTTATTATAGGTACCTATTTTAAGTAAATTTTTTTTGATACGATAGATAAGTATATAGTATATAGTATGTACTATGTCTTATACCTAGACTGACGTCTGACACAATACCGTCTCCGCTCAGAATCGTTTTTCTTATACAATGATATTATATCATTGAATTAAAATTTAATACTATCCATTATACAGTGGCCTACTTCATACTTGTAACCTACTGTACAGCAGAGCACCTTTTTATGATTTTATATCAATGTAATTATTATATCATTATTGGTTTTTACAGGAAAAAAGTTGGCTAAAATAGCCACTTCACAGTACTAAAAACCACTAACTGATAATGTAAAAATAATAGATAACACAATTTAAACTGTTCACTATACGTCTATAGTGAATACGTCTATATACTACCTACTTCATTAATACACAGGAATACACGGTGTATAGACGTTACAGTCGTTACACTTTTGATTCCAAGTACTAATTTACTATCGAACACTCAGTATCTAGCTGTCAAATTTCTTCTGTTAGATATTTGCCCACCTGCATAACAGGACCCACCACCCACCCATTTAAAAGGGGTGGCGGTCGCCACCCT